GAGTACTTCGCATTTATTATAAAGATTCCCAGCTACTTTAACCAGAGATGCTGTAAAGGGATCGTACTAATGGACTTCTGTTCCGGAGTGGAGGTATCCCTTTCTAAGGTAACAAAGTCGCTGCACGTCCTGAAGTGTACCGGGAAGCTGAGCGGAATGTCGGAGGAAGGGTGCAAAGTTCTGGTTTCACACATAGCTTCCATCTAAACCTCCTTTTAAATCTTCAAACTTCTATTCTCCTTCTCTTTAAACTTCTATTCGCCAGTAAATCAAACTAGATGCCTTCAGAGATGAATCAGTCTCAATCAGTAATGCTCTGTTGTCTTGTTAGTAAAGCTTGCCAAGTTTATTAATCAGATCAACAAATCAATGTGTACATGTTTTGATGTTAAATTTTGATTCTGTTAAATAAATGAACGCATTTATTCTGATTGGTCAAAGATAAAATGGCGTCTCATGTCACTGATTAAACAATCCACTCACAGTTATCTCGGTCACATGGCAGGAATTTAACTCGAAAAAGAAAATAATCCTTTGTAATTAAACAATTAATATTCTTTGTGCTTGAACTAGCTTTAAGAATAATTAATTAGTAGTGTGTCTACAGCAAAGCTGTCCTGACATACTTCAATACTGCTCAAGTTGAGCATAGTCATCTGGATCCACCTGTTGAAGTGGAACATATTTGTCATCTTCAGTTGATTTTGTCAGATGGAGGTTTACCAGCACTCCAGTGAAAGTCTTCATCATCATGTTTATCAGGCATGGGAGAACACAGGATATGAACAGGCAGAAGAGGATGAGCACCGTCAAGATGGGGGTGCAGATCTTTAGTAGCAGGTGCCACCAGGGTCCAGAAGTGAGCCATGAAAGAAGGTCAAAGGGTTGGGCTCCTGATGTTGCACTGTCCACATACCGTTTCAGTTGTTTTAGGTCATTTAGAGCATCATGGATGTCTCCACCAGTTCCAGTTTCATCTGGGATGTAGGTGCAGCATGTGGTTCCTATAATCTTACATACCCCTCCTTGTGAGGCGGTGAGCAGGTCCAAGATGATGTGGTTCTGGATAATCATGTCTCTCATTGCAGTCAATTCCTTTGTTGTTCCATTTGCCAGTATGTAGGTGTCGTTGATGAGGTGTAGGAGAGCATAACGGTTGATCTCGACGTGGTCTCAGATTTCTCCAACTCCTACCCATGGGAATAGGCCTTGAAAGATTTTTTCACCTCCATTCCAGATCCTGTATTCCCATGGGATGTCAGTGCTGGTGGTGAGGCCTCCCCATTGGTGCACCTCGGGCATTGGTGAACGTTTCTTCCTGGTCAATGGTTTAGAGCCTTTTCTGAGGAGCATCACAGGGCTAGATAGGGGGACCAAAGCACAACCCCCCCCCCCCCCCCCCCCCCCCCCCCCCACCCCAGTGTGGTGGTAGTGCATTGTAGGCTCTGTGGCCACACAGGAAGTACCAGTCAGCCAGAGTTTTGGAGCCTCTGTCTCGTAGCACGGTGGCACTGCAACCAGTGGTGTTTTGACGTCCTTTTTTTTTTGACGTAGGCTGATGTTGAATATGTGGCGTTGGAGATAGCGTCCGCATTTCGGGTCCTGGTATGCGGTACAGTCGCCAGTGGTGTTTTTGCTTGCCACACAAGAAAAACATTTTTAAAACTTGGGTGTGTAGTCAGAAAGTGAGCATCTTTTCACACAGATTCCATGGAACGGAGCCCATGGTCGTGGTCCCGTTGTTGAACACACAGTGGCCAAGGGAGCCAGGCCTTTCCCTGGCCAGGGTAATCAGTTCAGGTAGTTGTATTGTCATTTGTGGCAATGGCAAGAGGTCTGTCATTTGCCTGCAGTCTTGATCAGTTATGGGCTTGTGGGTTTTTGTTGCAACTTGCAGGGGTGTGAAGTAGTTCCTCTGCTCCCACTCGATGGTTTGTTGTGATGTGGTGTTGTAGCCGGGGTGTGTGCTCAGACCATACAGGCACTTCTCTTGCTCTATTGTGATGTTTCCTCGTCTCAGGCCTGAGTTGTGAGTAGCGTAGGGCATGTGAGCACACACATAGCAGTTGACTTTGTTCCCTTCGTGTGCAGTTTTGTTCATCAGCTGGAACCACAGATTGGTGCTGTAGTCATGTGGGTGTGTCATCTGTCTTTTGCCTCTTTGGAGAGCTTCTTCGCCCATGCACAAAATTACACAGCATGCTACAACTACAACGCAGCAGAGGATCCACCTTTACGTGCATTCCTGTTGATGATGCAGTAGAGGTGGTCAGTTTAAGACTAAAATCAGACACCGCTCTGAGCAGAAGAATCACGCTTTCCACAGAACAACTGTGTCAACTCTTGAAACTGTGCCTGCAGTCAACCTACTTCACATATGGGGAGCAATATTATAGGCAGAAACATGGGTGTGCTATGGGGTCTCCAGTTTCTCCTATTGTGGCCAACCTGTACATGGAGGAGGTAGAAAAGAGAGCCTTGACGTCCTTTTCAGGGACACCACCAAGTCATTGGTTCAGGTATGTTGGTGACACCTGGGTTAAAATTAAATCTCAGGAAGTCCAACATTTTACTGACCACATCAACTCTGTGGATAAATACATCAAGTTCACACGAGAAGATGTATTTACAGTTTGACTCCCATCACCCTTTGGAGCACAAGCTATGAGTCATCAGAACTCTGTACCACAGAGCAGACAGCGTCCCCAGTAACTCAGGAGCGAGGCAGAAGGAGAAATCCCACACAAGACAGGCTACAGAGCAATGTGGATATCCTAACTGGGCCTTCCTAAAAGCAGAGAAGAAACCCAAACAGGACTCCAGTCAGCCATCGGGTGAAAAGGAGGAACCCAGACCCAGACCAGTGGTCATTCCGCATGTTGAGGGAGTATCAGAGAAACTGAGACGTTTATTTTCTAAACATAACGTCCCAGTGGCTTTTAAACCCCAAAATACATTACGGCAAAGACTGGTTCATCCCAAAGATCCAGTCCCCCGGCACAAACGGAGTAATGTTGTGTATGCTGTTCAGTGTCAGGAGGGTGATCAGTCTTACATCGGGGAAACTAAACAGCCACTGGCCAAAAGGATGGCCCAGCACAGAAGATCAACAACATCAGGCCAGGACTCTGAGGTCTACACTAATCTCCAGGCCAGCGGTCACTCTTTCAGGGATGAAGATGTTCACATCCTGGACAGAGAGGAACGATGGTTTGAGAGAGGAGTAAAGGAGGCCATCTTTGTGAAAAGAAATCGTCCATCATTAAACAGGGGCGGAGGCCTCCGGGTTCAACTGTCCCCCTCTTACAATGCTGTGATTGCTAGTATCACTCAGCCCCCTGTGAATAGTAAACAGCCATCAGTGTGCTAATGATCCATTGTTAGGCTGATGGTCCTTCTTGAGCATGTGATCAGCTGGTTCTGGTTGTCAGCAGCAAACTGGTTGATCCACTCTGAGAAGGTGCTATTTAAGAGACTGAGCTGAATACAGCACCTCAGACTGAGGAAGTCTTTCGGAAGAAAGACGAAACGTTTCTACTTTTTTTTTTTTTTTTTGAATGTCCAGAGGACCAGATTTAACTTTTTTAGACTCTTCGTTCCTCCTTTGTCTGTGCATTGGCCTGTGAAGGATGTCATGTTCTATGTCTACTCCTCTTGTCATGTCCTCCCTTAACATAAGTTTTTGCTTCCCTGCCAGGATTATGTTTTGTTTTGTAAAATAAATGTCATTATTTATTTTACATCCGAGTCTCCTGCCTCTGCCTGCATGTGGGTTCAATAACTTAACAGAAGAACATGTCAGAATGCACGGACCATAATGAACCCAGCAGGATGATTACCCTTTTAAAGTTCCTGGCCTGTGAAGCAAACAAGACTGCCCAGTGGGACAAGGAGAAAAGTGAGAGATAGGAGGTGAAGTTCATCATCTGGTGGTGTGGTTTCCAGATGGAATAAGCTAGACCTGCCCAAATATAAAGACGCTGCAGCCGGGAGGTTGAGATTCTCCCATCCCCTCTTTTTGGAAGGAGGAGATGAGGAGATCTCAGTTCAGGGGAACACACCTGGCTTTCAAGCCCATTCACTCCTCTCCACCACCTCATTCCTTTCCAGCACCCCGTTACCCTCAGCCCCTCCACTCATCTCCTGAGTTTACTGAGTGGGAGGAAGGCAACCCACTCAGCACAACAACAAAAAAACGTCCAGATGACCTGACTGAATATTGTTGGATTGTATACGTAGATTACTGAACATGGACTTTGGTGTTTTTAACCAGTTTGACATGACTGTCGACAAGACAGAGTGCAGGCACCGGAGGAGGGGGCATGCCACAGAGGCCATCATAGCACCAACATAACTGTTTTTTTCCACTTTGGAGTAAGGTGTTGGGGGAGAATCAGTTTTGTTTGGTTTCCTCACACTGATGAAGCCTTCCAGATGGAGGGTGAAACATCTCAGCACGAAAAAGAAACTGTCCAGATGACCTGACTGAACATTATTGGATTTTATACCTGGATTATTGAGCATGGACTTTGGTGCAAATGGAGTCATATTTCAATTTATTTCAGTGAGTTTCAGTACTTTGTAGGGTGATACTGTTTATTTAAAACATGTATATGGTGATATGCACATTCTTGTTGCTGATAATAATTTGAATATATTTATGCACACTTTCATGCAACATTCATTTTCATGCACCCTGACATGTGCATGGATCATGATGTATGCAACTTTTAGGTGAGTATGCACTGTTCATACACAAGGCCCCAGAGCTTGAAATCTTTACAAGATGCTTTTGTCAAGCAGATTAATGAAGTCCTCAGAGGTTGAAGCACTTCTATAAACATAGTCAGTAGATCTCAAATCATTCATTTTATTTCTAGAGTTGAACATTGCTATGTGCTTTTTGGAAATAGAGAAGTATACATTACTGTGATGCAGTTCATTCTAAAGATATAAATTTTATTTTGTTTGTTCTGTCATTGTGACCATCTTTGACATAAATGATGGATATTAAATTTAATATTACATATATCACCCTGGATGGGTACATACAGGTACACAAATACAGATTTCTTTATTTTGTGATCATGTTTACAGTATATATTCTGATACTGTGCTGTAATTTCATTGTTGTATCGCTCATTGTGACACAAAAGAGCCTTCATGAGCCAATGTATGTTTTTATTGCAGCTTTGTTACTGAACTCTGTTTTGTTCAGCACTGTAGTTTACCCAAAGCTTTTGATTGATATTTTATCTGAGAGGCAGATCATATCCTATTCGAGTTGTTTCTTGCAACATTTTCTGTACTACTCTTTAGGCAGTTCTGAATTTTTACTGTTGACAGCCATGGCCTATGACCGGTATGTATCTATATGTAAGCCATTACAATATCCAACTATAATGGAAAGAAGAACAATAAGTATTCTGTTGGTTTTTGCTTGGATAACACCTGCCTTTCATCTCTTTGTGTCATTATTGGCTGTACGAATGTTAAATGAAAATCCATGTAGTTATTCTCTGAATGGTATCTTTTGTAACAGTCCACTTTACCATCTGCTGTGTGTGCGCTTAGAAGCACTTGTTATACTGGATATGATGACCCTTGTGAATGTTGCGCTCCTCCCTCTGCTTTGCATCCTTTTTTCATACATCAGGATTTTGATCATATCCTATCGAAGTTCTACAGAAGTCAAGAAAAAAGCTTCACGGACCTGTATACCTCATCTGTTAGTTCTAATCAGTTTTTCATGTTTCGGTGCATATGATGTCATTACAGTTGTGGTTGAATCGGATATTTCAAAGATTGTGCATTTAGCAGTAACTTTACAGATGGTTGTATTCCAGCCTCTATTCAATCCAATTATTTATGGTCTGAAAATGAAAGAAATTTATAAACATCTCAAGAGGCTGGCTGGCCTGTAGAATCAAAATGAACTAACATTTTAAGTTGTTTCCTTTGAAGCAATGGAGATTATATCTGGTCCTGCATTGTAATACCACTGTTTATTTTTGTTCTTATTTTTTAAGATTTATTTTAAATAGAGCTATGCATCAAATCTCTACATCAAATTTCCCATTAACACAATACACTGGCTGCCCATGTATTTTACAGTTCATTTATATTTTTTTAAAAGGTTTTAAACACCCCCCCCCCCCCCCCCCCCCCCCTTATTTAACAGAGTTTCTCCACCACTACACTCCCCCTCAGTCACTCAGGTCCTCTGACCAGCTGCTTCTGGTCATTCCCAAGAGTAAGTGAAAGCTTAGAGACAGGACCTTCTCTGTTAGTGCCCCGAGTTATGGAACGCTCTGCCTTTGCACGTTCGACAGGCCCCTCACTGTCCAGGTTTAAAACTCGTCTGAAAACTCATCTCTACTCATCGGCCTTCAACCAACTGAGACTTGATTTTACTTCATTTTTATTGGTATTGATTTTATCTGTTTAACTCGTCGTGTTATTGTGTTTTAAATTGAGTTTTTAGTTCATTGAGTGCTTGGCTTTGTAGCTTTATTTTTATGCCTTGTTTTATCTTGTTTTTAACTGATGTTCTGCTCTTTGTTTCAGCTGTGGCTCTGTTAACGCGCTTTATAAATAAATTTAATGATGATTGAAGCGTGATTTTTCATAAATAAGTAAAGTTGTAACTGGTAACAGGTAAACGTTTTTTGTGAAGTGCTGAATGATCTGCTCTTTTGTTGTATATTAATGTTTACTTGCATGATCTAAAAACAGCTTTGCAAAATGTTTCCCAGTTTAACATTTCACTAACCATCAAGCTGTGCTTTTAACTTAATAAAAAATAAAACGAGTAACACTAGTCGTGACGGAAAGCCCTGATAAACATAAATTTGGAATGATTAAAGAGGTCAGGTCACACCAGTTTCTGTAAAGATGACACACCCATTTTTTGATTGTGCTTATGAAAATGTTAACCTTCAGTCTACTTGTTGATAAATGATAAGTTTATGTGATTGCAGAATATCTGCTTAAGCCAGTAGCTGATTCATCTGTGACTGTTGGAGACTAGCCAGTGAATGAAAATTGTGGGAAAATAATGAGAAATAGATCTTTTGAGATGCAGTCTCACTGAAAATAAATAAATATTTGTCACCAAGTCACCTGTAAGTCTTGCAGCTACTTTTTGAGCAGAAATCCCAGCTCACGTGTTTGTGTGCACAACTTGCAAAACTGTATTGTACTTTGTAGGTTGTGTACCTTATGCAGTATTGTTGCCCACCTCAGTCTACTGCATGCAATTCAAAACACTTTCTTTAAGTCAATGTCTTGTGCCTATTCATGCACCGGCTGAAGGAGATGGAGAAAAGAAACAGAACAGTGGCCATTATTTATTGGGATGTGGGTGCTCTTCCTGATACACATGACATGGTTGGTTACCACTATTATTATCTGGGGCACAAAGTTACAAAAAAAAAAAAACAAGCACACAAAAAGTTAAATAAAAGACAACATTTCAAAACTGTCATTATGTTACTTAAACCATGGTTGAAATAATTTTACAGTGTATACAGGGCACGTTGCTCTTTAAAAAAAAGGCCAGCTACAGACTCAAAGAGCTCAAAGTAAAATAAAACTATTTAAATAAATGAAAACAAAGGGCTGACGAGGCAGCAAATCTTTCAAAAAATCAGGAGGAGAAACATGGAGGAGTCACAAGGAAGCACCAGAAGGACCAAGACATCTGTTCAAGTTCAAGAATCTTTTTGATCTCCGACTGACAAAAATCAGTTTTAGGATTTGAGAACTCGGCCGGACAACAAGAAAGGTTAAATGATTTATTGATTTGCAGCTGCTGGTGGGTGTCTGGGTCCAGATGCAGGAACAAATCTGCAGAGATATGACAGTTAGTGGTCTGTAGGTTTTCAGGAGATTGTTTATCAACAATGAACAGCCACTAACCTTCTCAGGCAGTTATGGTGGTATAAACCTGTCGGAGTTCAGGTAGAGGATGTCACCATAGTTGGTGGGAACACAGCAGTAGAAGAGCGTGGCGAAAGCTAAGAGTAAGGGGATTATTCAGAGTCGGGGTCCATTAGGAGAAGCAGGGGTCATGCACAAGAAGTCAGAGGTCTTTAAACAGATCCAAGGGATAATCCAAAATTTAGAGTCCATGGGCCAGAAAGAGTTGTCATCAGGATCAGAAGGGCAGAACATGAACAGACGAGTAGCAGGCAACAAGGCAAATCCAAAAAGCATACATGGGGTCAAGACAAAAGTTTCAGATGAGAGCTCTGGGAGTTGTTCTGCCCAGCATTTGGGTGGTCCTGCAGCCCGGGGGAACCAAGAGGCCTGCTGAGTCTGGGTGGATGGATCGGACGGCATCTGCAGCCAGTTTCTTAGGATCCATTGTGGGATGGACCTTTACAAGAGATCCTTCCTGTCTACAGCCTCAGTATCCATAACATCTCTTAATGAAATTAGGATAACGAGTTACAACAACAAATAATTTCCCTTTGGGATTAATAAAGTATTTTTGAATTGAAGTGAATTTGAATTGAATTGAACAAAGCGCTGGACATCTACAACCAAGAGGATTCGATAATCTGGCAAGGAGAAGTGAAACAAGAGTGCTTAAATAGAGCAAGCAGCAGGTACAGGGCATGAGGCTGATTGAGTGGTGAGTGAAGTGGGTGTGGCTGAGAGGCAGAGCTTGAGAGTAGAGCATGACAGGGTAGAAATGAGACATGAAGGGGGCAGAAACATAACACCAACAGGCAATTTGTTTCACAGTCAGTAGACACACAAAACCTCCATACTAGACAACACATTGAGATGTTAAAAAACAGTACAGAAGTCATCACTGTTCATTGAGAAGCCTGATCACTACAGGGATGAATGAGTTTTTCAGTCTGTTCATCCTACATATGCATTGCTACAATTGAATTACCAACAACATAATGGAATTACCAACAACATAATGGAATTACCAACAACATTATGGAATTACCAACAACATTGTGGAATTACCTAAACCGTTGTGGGATTACCTTCTTTGACTTTTGTTTTCCTCTTGCTGGATTACATCAAGCTCAAGGACATTCGGAGGCGTAAGTTCATGTTCATCCCCATGGACAGGCGATGATTTCCAAAGGGGGCCTGTAGTGAACTCAGCCTCCGACCAAAACCTGCCTCTGAGGACCTTCATGGGACAGGAACAATTATTTCATTGATTTGAATCCAGAAATACAAATTAGCTCATCCAGAGACTGTCTAATTGTATCCTGAAGTAATCAATTGAAAGAACACTCTTCATTTTATATTATCATTTGTCATAGCTCTGCTCTCTGTCAGCTCCTCTTTCATGCTGCACACTCAGTAATCACTCAACTCATGTCACCTGTCACCGCTCATTATCCCACAGCTCCACCACCTGGTCCAGTCAGTACTTAAGCTCACTCATTCCTCTCTGTCTGGGCCAGATTCTCTATCCTGTCTCATCAACAGTAGACTTTCCAGCATCCCATTGATTGACTCATCACGTTCATGACCCTTGCCTTGACCACGACC